AATTGGAACATGGGTCCTCCTGGTGGACTTCAAGAGTTCACTTTCACGGTACCGAGCAGCAAGACTGGGATAATAATTGGCAAAGGTAATGTGTTGTTGTAAAAAAAATTGTTCTGTTTGTTTCTAGTTTCAATTAAAACACAATTGCAGCCATGTTCAGCTAGAATATTCGTGTTTTACAGAATTGCTCAAATAATTTTAACTCTTTCCAGTGCGATGTGTTTACATCTCAGTGAGGCCATTGAGCCTAATAAGTGTGTTTGTGTCCCATAAATGATGCCTGTGATATTACTGCTTTTAATTCAATCCTGCATCTAATTTTATCAGTGTTTGCTTTAGTTTCTTTCATCCTTATGGAGTTAGCTAGATTCTCCTGAATTGCTGATATCATGGCGAATTTCATGTCCTAACTATTGATGTAAGGTGGTTCTGTTTTTCAGCATTGCTGAGAGGTGGAAAATGGATTGCGTTGAAATAGATTAGAGAGAGAAAAGTAATCATATGTAATTCAGAATGCCAATGTTTTATATGTTAAGGGGTAATGGTCTATTCTTTGGCTGAGTGCTGTGGCAAGAGAGGAGAGGAAATTTCGACTTTTGAGTTTAAAGTGCAGCTGGATAATTTGGGCTCAGTATCACTGGGCTTTACTCTGCATCTAACCTCTGTTATATCTGACCAAGGAAAGAATGCAACTTCATAGAATCCCTACAGTGTGGAAGCAGGCCATTTGGACCATCAAGTCCACAATGAGCCTCTGAAGAGCATTCCACCTAGTCCCACTCCACTGCCCTATCCCTGTAACCCTGTATTTCCCATTGCTGATCCACCTAGTCTGCACATCCCGGGACACTAGGCAGTTTAGTGTGGCCAATCCGCCTAACCTCCCTTGTGAGAGGAAACCGGAGCACCCGGCAGAAATCCTCATAGACAAGGGGAGAATGTGCAACCTCCACACAGACAGTTGCCCGAGGGTGGAATTGGAGCCGGGTCCCTGGCACTGCAAGGCAGAATTGCTAACCGTTGAGCCACCATACTGCCCTGTGGCGCATCCCTTGACTGAAAAGTATTCAGGCAGAATGTTAGTTTATTTGTAAGGATTAACAAATTGGTGTAATTTTTTCTGAAAATCTGCTCTGCTTTAGGTGGTGAGACTGTAAAGGCAATCAGCCAACAGTCAGGAGCACGGATAGAGCTTCAGAGAAATCCACCTCCAAATGCTGATCCCAATTTCAAAATGTTTATTATTCGTGGATCAACTCAGCAGATTGACTATGCTCGACAACTTATTGAAGAGAAGATTGGGGTAAGTCTTCAAGCCATCTAATTGGCATATTGAGACATGGTGCCAAAAAACACACAAAAGGTACAAGTACACACGCAAATGTCATTTAATTTTTAAGAATATCACATGCCCAAAAGTGTGTATGACTAATTTTGTTTTAAACTCAGTAACAGAAAAATATAGTCCGCCTCATGTAAATTTCCAAGTTTCTACATATGGTTGGTGGCTAACCTGTTGGACAGCACTTTACACATATGGGATGTAGTGGCATTGTTCATATTAGTGCAATCAAAGCTGCACAGAAATATAGACAGACAGCTTGACTTTGTGTGCAGCAATGGCTGATGGAGTGAATTGTGATCAAATGTGAGGTTATTCACTTTGGTAATAAGAATAGAGAAGCCGAATTTTTTTTTAAAGATGTTGATGTTCACTACAGTTGGTTTACTTGTACAGAGGAAAAAAGTTAGCATGTAGATTGTTAAGGCAAATAACCTTTATTGCAAGGGGATTGGAGTGCTTGAAAAAGGAAGTCATGCGACAACACTGTAGGGCTTTGGTGAGACAGTACTGCAGTTTTGGTCTTCATATTTCTGGGAATTATGCTTGCATTGGAGATGGAGCAGTGACAGTTCATTATTTTGATTCTGGGTGGAGGGGGCTGTCGTTTATAAAGGCTGTGAACTGGGCCCTTCGCTCCTTGAAGTTTATAGCTCATTAAAATGTGAGGGGTTCTGAAGAGTCTTAACAGGGTCGATACTGGAGAAACTAGAAGAACAATCTTAAGGTAAGGGTGAATTAATTGAAGTTGTGAAATTTCTTAATTCACTGTATGATTCTTTGGAATTTTCTACATTTCAGTGCTAAGAATATTTAAGCTTTCAGTACAGATTTGTGGTCTTTTGGAATTGAGGAATTTGTGGAATGTGTGGGAAGTGGAGTTGAAACAGAAAATCATGAATTTTTTGAATGGCACAGCAGGCTTGAGAGACCATTATAACTTAGTCCTCTGTTTACATATGTTCTTTCATGTTCTGATGTTCAATATTGGACAGAGATGGAGTGAATTGGACCATTACCAATATAGGATGGAAAATTACAATGAAGAATCTATATTCTGTAAAAGCAAACCAAGATGATGGGATCTATGTGGCACACCATGGGTTATTACTTCTGGAATTTGTTGGATTCGTGTTGGTTGGCAAGGAGTGATTTCTTGCTTGCCCAGGAAGTCCATCTTAAAGTGGTTGTGGAGGGTGGCACTATCGCATGATGTTGTCAGATTTTGAAAGTATATTCATACTGACTTCCAATTCACCACCATCCCACTCAACTCAACTCCTTCATAGTTTTTAAATTACGAAAATACTTGAATGTGATCCAGACTCAATGTGAAGAAATTTCCTCTGTTAAATAAATATGTGGAACAGAATCTATTGTCTTTAATCTTCACTGTCCCTCATCCTTGCAAGTGTCTGAGGTTACAATTTACAGCCCAAGTTCCTTATTTGATTTTAAGATGAGCAGCAGCGTTAAGCCCATCTATTTCCATATAGAGTCATACAGCATGGAAACAGACCCTTCGGTCCAACCAGTCCATGCCAAACATAATCCCAAGCTAAATTTGTCCCGCCTGCTTGCTCCTGGCCTATATCTCTCCAAACCTTTCGTATTCATATATATTCAAATGTCTTTTAAACGTTGTAATTATACCCGCATCCACCACGTCCTCAGTAAGTTCATTTCACGCACGAATCACCCTCAATGTAAAAAAAATTGCCTCGTCTTTTTTTTAAATCTTTCTCTTCTCTCCTTAAAAGTGTGCTCTCTAGCCTTGAAATCCCCCATTCTAGCGAAAAGACAACTACCATTAACTCTATCTATACCTCTCATTATTTTATAAACTTCTATCAGGTTGCCTCTCAACCTCCTATGCGCCAGTGAAAAAAGTCCCAACCTATCCAGCCTTTCTTTATAACTCCAATCTTCCATACCTGGCAACATCCTGGTAAATCTCTTCTGAACCCTCTCTGGTTTAACAATATTCTTCCTATAACTGGGCAACGAACTGTACACAGTACTCCAGAAGAGGCCTCACCAGTGTCCCATATAACCTCATCATGACTTTGAACTCCTATACTCCAAGGACTAAGCAATGAAGGCAAGTGTTCTAAACACTTTTTTAACCACTCTGCCTATGTGATGCAAGCTTCAAAGAATTATGTGGCTCTATTGTACAACACTACCTAAGGTCCTACCGTTAATTGTATAAGCCCTACCCTTGTTTGTTGTACCAAAATACAATACTTTGCATTTATCCAGATTGAACTCCATCTGCCATTTTTCAGCTCATTGACCCCTTTGATCAAGATCTCTTTGTAATCTTAGAAAGCCTTCTTCACTGTCTACTGTGCGGCCAATTTTGGTGTCGTCCGCAAATATCTTTGAAAGCTCTTAATTGTTACCTGCCTCTTGTTCATTTAATGCTTAACTCATTTGTGGCTTTGTTAAAACCTGCCACTTGGACCAGGATTTTGATTTTCTTCCTTCCTGTTGTGGCTCAGTGTCAGACTTTTTCTGTGATATTTGTAGTACCTATATAAATACAAGATGTCAATGCCATTCGGTGAATTCACTGAGCCTTAATAGGTCCATGGTTCCAGCACACAGTGTGCTCGTGCTGATAGCACAGCACTACTCCATAGCATCCAGTGTGACAACATGGTGATTAAATCTATTTGCTGAATGCATTGTTAATTTTCAAGTTAGCGACTGTAAAATCATGAACGCCTAAAAACACACGATTGGGAATTTTAATCTTTATTAATTTTTGCCACAAGCCAAAGCAGGAGAAAGTGCCTGAAAATTAGGCTAACGTTTCTAGCTTTCTTAATTAAATTTTGAATGCTGCAAGGATATTGTTGAATGTAAAGTTAATTCCATTTCTCTGTGGATCTTAATTTTATTGATCTGGGAATTGTTTTGAAGGAAGCCTGATTCCTAGGATAAAGGGTTATCTTGTGAAAAATGGGTTGACCAAGTTGGGCCCATACACGTTGGAGATTAGAATGAGAGATGACACTATTGAAAGGTGCACTTCTGAGGGGACTTGACAAAATGGAAGGTGAAATGATTTTCTCGCTTGTGGGTCAGTGTAGAACCGGGGACGCAGTTCAAAAATTAGGGACTTCCCAGTTCAGTCTCGGGTGCAGAGGTTATATTTTTCTGAGGAATCTCTAGTCTGTGGAATTCTCTTCCACAGAGTGCAGTTGAGGTTGGTGTTTTTAATATGTTCAAGACTGAGATTTTTGATGAACAACGTAGTTGAGTGTTATGGTGCAGGTGGAAAGTGAACTTAAGGTCACAATCGTAGCCATTATTCCATTGAATGACGGAGTAAACTTGAGGGACCAAACAGGAAACTCCAGCTTCAATTCTTGTGGTAGAATACCATTGAATGTTTGCATTAAACTGTATCTTCTATGCTACTTAACTGCATGCAGAATTTCTGTATGTTTGCTTGTTTTTTTTTGTGGTCTGGCGATCTCTAGAAACTTGTTGTACACCTGATTATATTTCACAATGTATGTTTGTGCATTTAGGCTCCTACTGGTCCTCCTGGGCCACCTGGTCCCCACGGTCCTCATGGACCTCATTTGCCTCCTGGCCCTCATGGGCCCCCTGGTCCTCCAGGCCCTGGAACTCCTATGGGGCCCTATAATCCGGGGCCCTATAATCCAGGGCCACCTGGTCCTCCTCAACAGTAAGTAAATTGATTTTGCACAACACAATTGTTTTAGACTTAGCCAAAGTATGTATTATGTTGCCATGATGTAATCTCTTAACCTCTGCAGTGGTCCACCAGCTCCATATGCTCCACAAGGATGGGGGAATGCCTATCAGCCCTGGCAGCAACAGGGTCAACCAGATCCAAGTAAGACAAGGTTTCTTTATATAATATTTTGCATGCACTTGTTTAAAAGCAATCCACTGATCTGTTCAGTGGCTCATTTTTCTTAATAAAGGCAGTCTGTTTTTGGCCGTACAGACCAACAGGGCCCACATTTGATTCCTGGTATCTTAATATTTGTTCATTCATGGGATATGGGCAGTGCTGGCTAGGCCAGCATTTATTTCCCATCGCTGGTTGTCCTAGAGATTTGGCTGATCTCATCCAGGATGCATGAGGTGAATCATCCTTAATTAACATCTAGTAATCCCCACTTCAGAAGCGTGCAAATGGCAGTGCCAGTTGAAGTCCGGGTTGGCTTTGACTGAGATGTTAATAGTTAAATAGCCGAACAATCTTTACACTGTTGTGGCTCATGCTTGCTGACTGAACAGTTGGATGGCATCCTGGAGAATAGCTTGTACTTGTGGAATCGGGTACAAGCAGGAGTTGACACCTCAGGAGAGAAAGAGAAAAAGAAAATGATCCCCAGAGCTTACTGTAATGTTCAAGTTATTGAATGCATTTTTATCTAGTGTTTGAATGCTAGCAGTAATGAATTTTTTTAAATCTATTGTAGGTAAAGCTGGAGATGCAAATACAGCTGCATGGGCAGCATATTACGCTCAGTATTATCAGCAACAAGCACAGCAGCCACCTGCACCTTCAAGCACCGGTCAGGGCAGTACCCCAAATTCTGCACCGGGTAAATCATCGGGTATTTTATCAGATCTTCTGGCTACACTGACAGAGTTAATTACCGCAGTTGTAAAAATCTTTGAGAACTAAGCTTGCATCTTACCCCAAAAGAAATTTCATAAGCTGACTTCTTTTGGAAACTAGTCTTAGCTGTTATTTTATCCCTATTTCTTAAATCAGTGGCAGTATGTGCCTGAATCACTTCTCACAGAGGGTGAGAAAATCTCTTCGAGTAGCTTTTAGGTTTCCTATTGTTATAAACTGTCATCTTCCTTTCTTCCCTCTGGGAATTAATATCCTTGGTGTTAATATGATAATCATGGCTCTGTACTTTTACCAGCAGCTGATCCAAACCAACCCAACCCGGCCCAGCCTCCTCAGACTGATTATACCAAAGCCTGGGAAGAATATTACAAGAAATTAGGTAAATACTTTAGGTTATCATGTCAAAACATAGGATTGATGGCAAGGAGATGCACAAAAGATGAGATGGAAAAGCTGCAGTTGTAAAAGTCCTGGAAGTATTCTATAAAGTGTAGAATGTGCTTTGTGCTAGACTGTAAGACAGACTGCAGAGAAACCACATCTCTTCCCAAGTGACCAGGACATTTTTAAAAATGGCATTGGCCAACAGCATGATTAACTTTGTTCATTGTACTGCATAATTGTGGAGCTTTGCAAATCTTGGTGCCAGAAATCTGATCTCTGCCCATGACAGCCCAAAGGAAATTCCCATTGCACAGGAAGCAGATGACATAAGAATCCTGAGCATTTATAATCAAACACATTTCTTAACCATTCCAGTACAATTAGAAATTGCAAATTTAAAGCAATTTTTGAATAGTCCCAATGCAATTTGTTGTAGTTGTGGTCGATCTTTAGATGTTCCAAAGAATAATTTTAAGCAGCCTTAGTTGTTTTTGAGGAAAATATTTTATAGTGAAGCCAACAAGTTCATACCCAACTGGAGGAGCGAGTGGTACAAAATATAGAAGAACTGTGAATGCTGAAGATCTGAAACAGAAATTGCTGGAGAAACTCAGCTGGTTAGGCAGCATCTATGGAGAGAATGTAGAGTTAACATTTCTGTTCTGAAGTGTCACTGGACTCCATGTTAACTCTGCTTTCTCTCCACAGATGGCTGCTAGACCTGCAGAGTTTATCCAACTATTTCTGTTTTTTTTTGGAAGAATAAGTGAATTTTTCTGTGCCTTTGTTGGAATCTTTTACTTTGAAGGCCCAAATTAGAATTTTTTTTTAATCATTCAATACTTTTAAATTTATTTCATAAAATGTTAACTACCTTTTGTTTAGGTCAACAGGGACAACCACAAGGAGCGCAACAGGATTATACAAAAGCTTGGGAGGAATACTACAAGAAACAAAGTATGTATGTCTCTGGAAAGCTTAATTCAAGTATGTTTGAATTTTCTGATCTTAGATCAGTGATTCAGTTCTGCTTATTATTTCAGGTCAGGCAGCTCAAGCATCCAGTACGGCAGCTCAGCCAGGTGGACAGCCAGACTACAGTGCTGCGTGGGCTGAGTATTACAGACAGCAAGCGGCTTATTACAGTCAGACGAACTCCCAAGGAATTCCCCAGCATCCGCCAGCGCAACAACCCCCACAGGTAAATTCCAGTAAACAATGGATTCATGATTGAAAGTGTGTTTTTGATTCGGCATGAAATAAATATCCCTACGTGACTTCAGTGAGGCTCATCGATAACTGCAGCACACACTGTATATCAATACCCTCATCCATTTTATAGTTAACTGCATATTACATTCAGAGGAACACATTTGAAGAGCATTGAATGGCATATTATTTGAATGGCTGTTCTTACATAAAGTTCCAACCCCACAGGAAATGTGAAAAGTGAAGAGCATCTGTCGGCTTTTAAGTTTAACTTTTCCTTTCACAGATAGAGGATCCTGTCCACACTCGATGTCCTTGAAATGTTTCATGTTGGTAACCACTTGTGTATTTCTATGTATTTCTTTTGTGCAGGCCCAGTAATGTGAAGTGGAGATATTTGCGTCATTTGGGGAAAAGCCTTTGTAAAATTAATGGATGCAGACGGCTTGATGAAGATCTTAATTTTGTTTTTTGGTTTAAAAAAATAGTGTTTCTTGCTATTGTCATACTTAAGAGGTAGCGAACTTGATAACCATTATTTTGTGTAGAAATGCAAATTTGGTTTGCTTTTAGTGAAACACGATAGTTTGAACATTCCAGCATATGTATTTCAATTTCTATTCAGTCACTATAGTGACGTGCTTCTGTTGTAAAATGTATTAATTCCATTGTATACCTGTTCACTTTTAAAAGAAAATGCTTGTTTTGTGCTTGACAATAAATAAAATGAAAACCCTTGTTTTGTGGGTAAGTTGGATCTATGGGTAAATACATGGTACGTTGTGTTGCACCTAATTGTAACCTGTTACAACACGTTCTGTGCGTTGTGGAGTTTTCTCTTGGGTCATGCTGAGACTTTGTGCATAATTCAATTCAGATCAAATAGTTGTCGTAATCCACGTTCCTGAAGCCACCATGATTTCAGTTTAGCTCATTAGTAATAATGCAAAGTTGCAAGCAGTGTATCTTTTGCATAATGTTTCTATAACATCATATGAAGGTGAAATGCGATTTAATGTTTTGGCTGGCATCCTTAGCTTTTGTTTGCAATTTTATGCTATATGTCTGACAAACTTTTGAGGCGTTTTGTCAGTTTGTTTATATGGTCTACAATTTTTGCCATGTAAAATAGTGCCCCATAACTTTTTTTTCTGACAGAAGGAGTTTAGGAAAGCTGATGGTAAGGTTATCAGTCCAAGTATTCATTAATGATTAAGTAGTTCCTCAAAATGACTATGGAATTGTTTTTCTAATGCGTTATGACCTGCTTTAGCTGTTTTATTTTTCACGTTATTTAGTTGGAATTTTCCATTTTAAAACCTTGGAAGATTATCTGAATTGCTTCTGCATATTTTTCCCTCTATTTGAAAATGGTTGTTTCTGTGCAAAATAGATTTTTCCCCCATGCTTGCACTTGAATATTCTAGTAGTTGCTCAGTTTAATTATGCAAAAGATGAATGCCATTGCAGTCTCTCTTTGCCACTGTATTTATTGAAGTACAGGTGTGTTCCAGCCAATGTAGAGATAGCTCTGTAAGGGTAACCTGGCGTATGCTGTGCACCATCCTTGATTCTGTTCCTTCAAGGAGCTTTGCACTGTAAGTACACTAAAACCTTGCAAAATAGAGATGACTTACTGTGCGATAACACTTTGAAATTGTTTTTGCCCATGTCCTTGATTTTCTTTGTCAAGAGATACATTGAAATATGAATAACAATGCAGAAATGTCCTGATCATGTACTTAGCATGTAATGCTTGTAGGAATTAAACTGATAGGATGCTATACTTGCTAGTTTTGCTGATTTTTTTTTTTTATTATGAAAGCCTTTTATGGGTAAGTATTTCCTAAACTGTATTAAATATTGTTTGAGGAATGCAGAATGGAAAGCCGTTTTAGATGGTACTGTGATAGTTTTCTTTTTAGATTTACTTGACCCATTTGGAATTTTGTTAGATTGAAGGTAGGTAGGCCAGGAGTGTGTTGTATTGCATCGCCTTGACGTTCAACTGAATAAATGGATATGAATATCTGCCGTTTATGTTGACGTGTCACATGGTGGAAATTATTTTGGGTTTTTAAATGAGCGCATTATGTTTTAAATAGCAAAGTTGTCTTTTGCTGTGAATTGTACTAGAAATTGCTCACAAGTTGTAAACTGTGTAAACCTTTTGGGCATTGAATTTATTTTGCTGAGTGTGAGAATGGAGTAATGCAGTTTCTGACATGGATATTATTGTTCTGAGCAGATATCATAAATTTCTTAAAAGGAACAACTTTTGTATGTCACTTCTCTATTGTTTTGAATGCTTTTCGATTGATTCACGTCGAAAAAAAGTTCTTGTTTGATATTTGAAATAGTGAATTATTGTTCTGTCCATGATGTGAATTTAGATAGTGTCCATTACTGTAACTTAGTTTCACAGCTGGCACAAGTTCACAGAACTGAATTTTGCAAACATTAAGGAAAGCCTGCTGTCTCTGGAAAGCCACAGAAAAAGTGCTCAGTAGTCCAAACGTTGCAGGCTGCTTGTTTTTAGGTGTGGAGAGCCGAATGAGTACTGTAACCGAGAACCACAAGACACCTGCAGGTTAATTGTCAATGTTAGTCTTGTTTGTGCATGAAGCTGTCTCCTGAAGTCAAATGTTAAGAATCTAGACTGAAGGTTTTTGTATCTTATTTGTAACAAAAATGAAGGAAAAGAATTGCGAAATTTTATGGTGTAAATTATTTAAGTTTTGAAGTAGATAGTTTGAACATGTTATTTTCTAATGAAGGTTGTGTGATTCAGTGTTCTTAATTTGGGATTGTAAGCAAAAAAGATGCTGTCCATACTTGATTTGCAATCATGTATACTGCTGTCTCTCTGTATAGGCAGATGTAGCTTTGAAAAAAGAAAAACGTTTAAAACATTTCCCCATATTGCATTCAAATTTATGCTTCACCCTGTTTCGCTATCTTTAATGAAGACTTCACAGTTGCAACAATGGACAACAATACAGCAACCATTTTCCCGTTTTCATTGATGTCCTTGTCCATTTCAGGTCCTTTTGTCACATAGTCAAACTGACAATCTCAGCTCAACTTAATTTTAGAAGTGTGCCCTACAATAAACTTTTC